GCTATAGAGAGGGAAAGAGAATTGAAAAACAAAATAGACCAAAAATTAAATTAAATCCTGAGATACAGGCAAAACAACCAACAGTGGCAACTTGAAATCTCTCAGGCAGCTTTGAAGGCAAGAAGCTCAAAGACGACTTTAAAGTCATACACACATTAGGCTACATATTTTTTCCCTCTTTTTCTTCTCTCCTTCCTCTCCCTTTTCTGCGATTATAGACTACAATATTTAGTTTAGTTTTTTTTTGTTGCTGTTCTTGTTTTTTGTTTGCTGTTGCTGTTTTGCTGGTTTATGCTCCCCCTTCTACCTTTGAGGGACTCTTTCTCTGCCTCTATTACCCAAGAAGAGATAGCAACTGCTGCCATATAGTCAAGCGACAATCACACTCTATAAAACACCAAAATCCAGGCAAGAACCAGTACCAACTGCCATATACTAGGGAGGCAAACAACACCTGTGAAAGTTACTCTGAGTTAATCACTAGGAAGAGTTAAAAGGGAAGCCCACACCCTGATTACATCTACCTGGAAGCAATCAGAAAGCATGAAAAATACAAAAACATATACTCAGTTAAATATTAAGGCCACAGACAAAAACGCTAAACATGTCGAAGAAGCAAAAGCAGATGACTAAACCAGCATACGTCCAGAAACAAGATAAAATGTCTGAGACAAATGACCTAGAGATAGACCTGGACTCCATTCTGGATGGAGGGCAGGATTTGCAAAGGCCTGAGAAGGAATTCAGAAAAGGGATGACAGTATATTTCAAAACACTTCATAATGGAGTTGAGAAAAATAAGGAAAAATTCAGGAAAATGCTATGCTGTTGTTGTTACGTACCGCGGTGTTGGTTTCAACTCACAGTGACCCTGCACAGGGTTTCCGAGGCTGTACATCTTTACGGGAGCAGAATGGCTCATCTTTCACCTGCGGAACTGCTAGTAGTTACGAACTGTTGACCTTGAGATTACCAGCCCGATTCGTAATCACTATACTAACAGAGCTCCTATAGAAACAATCAAATAAGATAGATACAGACTTGGAAACAATTTAAAACCTACAGAAATATGTCCAAACAATTAATAATAGAATATCAGAAATAGACAATACTTTTAAAGGGCAAAGGAGTGTAATAGAAGAGATGGAAGGCAGAACCAGTAAGCTGGAAGACAAATCTCTCAATACCACTAAGATACAAGAGCAAACGCAAAAAAGGATAAAATAATCTGAAGAAGGTCTAAGATTCATGTTGGACAACATGAAGAGGAATAACTTGAGAATTATTGGCATCCTTGAACAAGAAGAATCGCACAAGTCCACAGAGGAAATAGTTGAAAA